TAACTGGGGTACAGGCCCAAGGTGTGGGGGTGAGAAGATTCACCAGAGACAGAGTGGGGAGCAGAACACACAGATGTACTGAAATATACTGCTGAGGGGAGCAGCAGGTGGGTCAGGAGAGGTCTGCTCTGCCATGTGGGTCAGCTCCCTGGCCGGAGATAGAGCTTGTACTGCAGTGGCTGCAGAAAGCTTCATAGTGCTGTGCTTTAACCTGTTGCACCACCAGGGAGGGCCCCCCCCCCATTTTTTTTAAAGTTGAAAAGCAGCAAATTATAGTCTCTGCTTCTCTAGTCCATATTGTGGCCATGTTTTTTAATAGAGACAATGGTAAAGATTGGAAAAGGGAGACAAAACCATGTCAACTCTACTGAACTTAACAGAAAAGCCCATAGAATTTGCCTCTTGCTTTGGAGAAACAGTGTAACCCATGGGCCTGATCTCAAGAAATACCCATGTGTTGTAAGGCCCTGGGTCTCCTGATGGTTACAGCTTGAACTAACTGACAGTAGAGTTGTCATAATCGACACAGTTGCTGAGAAACCCAGACACTATTTTGAAAAGGGGATTCCTTAGAAAGAAGTGTGTTAAACCACAGGGACCCACAGTCACATCCTCCCTGCTCCCTTGCCCTTGTTAAGGAGCGGAAGAAGATGTGTGTTGACAGTAAAAAGAAGCCGCAATGGTAGGACTGGCGGGTGCTGAGGCATTTGGCTAGCGGAGGGTCACCAGTGGGAGACATAGTGTTCCCTGCGGGTAAGGCAGCCCTGTAAGAAAACTGCCCTTCAATTGCCAGGGGACGGTGCTTGATTTCTTGGCAGCAAGGAGAAGGGGCTTGTGTGGGTAGGAAGAGCCTGCCAGTCAACTAAATTTATGGAGCACCTGCTGTGCAGACTTTGAAAAGGAGGAGGAGACAGGCCTTGTCCTCAGGAAGCTTGTGATCAAAGAGAGAAGAAAAGTCCCCATCTACTGGACAACTTTCAACATCCACAACCACATTTGAAATGGGAGAGGACTCAGTGACATTTGGGGCATGGTCTGAGCCTCTTTACGCAAAGCTGATTCTGGGATTAAAAGGACAGCATCAACCAGGAGACTGTGTGAAATGCAGAATCTTGGCGTCCCGCCCCCGGCCCCTGCAGACTCCAGAGTCAGAATCCACACTTGATTCCTTTGAGCACAGCAATTTCAGAAGCCCCAGCTGGGCTGTGGAGGCCCTGAGTCTCCCGTGTGTTGAGAGAACAAAAGCACCTGGTTTCGGTGAGTAAATTGATAGAAAAGGACGGCTTGTTTAGCTGTGAGCTGCTAAAACACAGGCATCCATCCGAGTCTCCTTTCCGGCCCCCTCCACTTTAAATTCATCATAGGAGCTCAGCGAATTCCTGTTGCAAGGGCGCTTCTTCCTAGTGTCTCTGTGGAGTGGGATATTGTTGAAATTGCTGTGAATTAATTATTATTACAGAGGCGGTTCATGAATTTTCGAAACATGTAAATGGTTATTAGAGGGGAGGGCAAGCCACTGAACTGTCTGAAACTAAGGGAAGCTTTACTACTAAGAGATGCACAACCCCTTCCTTTAAGGCACAGAGAGACCTTAGAGCCCGAGTCTTACCTGCAATGGTGAATTTTCAGTCTCAGTCACATACTGTTTGACCTTCACCACTCTGGGCTCCCCATCTCTAGGTTTAGGACAAATGCGATTCTGTGTTTCACGTGCCCTGAGAACTGTTGCCTTTAGTTGTGCATGTGGTGCAGTGTTCCGCTGGGATTAACTGGTTCATGTGTCTTCTTGGCACCAGCTCTATAATGCGTGCAACTTTCATCCAAATCCATCATTATTTATATTTGCAGCAGGAGAGCTGGGACCTGGGGCCTAGATGTTTCTGCATCCCAGTTCCAGACAGATTCTAATAGAACATAGTCCACAGACCTGACACTGAGGCAAATCCCCAGCAGGTACATGTGTGGGAAGACAAGTCATTCACAGACGTGTCAAAACAGAATTAAAAAACAGAGAAAACATGCACCATGTTTTCAGTGTTCCCTGCCCCTCCAGGAGCTCAGTCATGTCGGTTAACAACCCTTGAAATTGCTGTTGTTTCCAATGCACAGATGGGCAAATCCAGGCACGTGACACCATATGTGGGGTCCTGGCAGCAAGACCAGTGGACTCAATGGGGGAAAGTAGTGATCTCTCTGGGACGGGCCTGGGGGCTTCTGCTCCATCCTTGTGAGGAGTGGACTGGTACCACAGAGCTGGCTTCATAGTGCCCTGGAGCAGACCTTCTTCCACTCAGGAAATATGAGATCTGGCAGGCCTCAGTCCCCACCTGCAAAATGGGGGTGACTGCAGTTGGAAGGATTGCAAGAATGAATACATACCAGGCCCTGCGTGCTTGGTGCCAATGAGTTGGTTTTTTGTTTTGTTTTGTTTTTTTTTAGATTTATTTATTTATTTATTTATTTTAGATTTATTTATTGTGCATCTGGCTTCACCAGAGACAGAGTGGGAAACAGAACAGGCAGATCCACGAAGTACACTGCTGAGGGGAGCAGCGGGCGGGTCAGGAGAGGTCTGTCGCGCCATGTGGTCACCTCCAGGGCAGGCAGGCATTGAACTCATGAGGAAGTGGCTTTAGCTTTTCAATGCTGTGTTCTAACCCGCTGCGCCACCAGGGAGGGCCACCAATGAGTTTTTACTATGTATTTACTCCTTCCCTGATGGAAGGTGGCGGGTTCCATGAGTTTAAGAAGGAAAAGTTCTGGAGCTACCTGCTTACAGTTCCTGTAATTACCCTGAAAAGGCAGCAGCATTTCTAGGCCATAATGTTTCTGTAATTATGATTATCTGTTACATTTGCCTGTTAGTGACTGATGTCCAGAGGATTGGTTGGAAGCTGAACTAAGCCCTTTAAATTCTCATTTGGCTTGATCTGGGGATTATTCCATAGAATGCTGGGCTACAGACTCAGATTCTGGACACATTTGCAGGTGCAGTGTCCAAGATGATTCTCTTCCATTTATTTGATCAGTGTTCACCCTTGATCTAACTTCCAAACAGGATTTTAAACCATCTTAGTTTTCCTTCCAAATGGGCCTTGGTTTCCATAGATGCTGAGAAAGCATAATCAGCTAATAGTTCATACACAGTCATCAAAGAGCTCCTTCTCAGTTTTTTATTTTATTTTATTTTTTATTTTATAAATTCACTCTGCACTTAATGTGCCTTCAGCAGTCAAGTGAAGCACCAGGGAAATGATGAGAATTAAAACATCTGTCCTTATTTAGCTGGGGAAGGGGAACATAAATAGACCAAGAAAACTGGGGAAATATTAAAAGCAATAACAGAATAAAGGGAGAGCTAAGAAAAGATTCATTAGGTTTAAGAGTCTTTTTAAAAAATATTTATTTATGCAATAAGAACTGGAGTGTAGACCAGAGGTGCAGGGGGTAAGAGGATTCACCAGAGACAGAGTGGGGAGCAGAACAGGCAGATCCATGAAATACACTGTTGAGGGGAGCAGTGGGCAAGACAAGAGAGGTCTGCTGTATCATGTGTGTCAGTTCCCTGGTCGGGGATCAAACTGCAGCTTCACAGTGCTGAGACTTAACCCCTGTGCCACCAGGGAGGCCTGGACCCAAAGGGTATCTATGAGAGCTCTCTAAAGGGCCTTGTGCTTTCATGTTAGCTTCATTATTTCTGCCAGTCAGTATGGTTTTTTTCCCTCTTGATTCTATATGTATTTCTCCCTCATTCATAAATAATAATGTACTTATTTATGGCCATCTGAATAAAAACAATGGCTTCGTGAAAACAATTAATTGGACTTCAAACCCAGCACAAAAAATTAGATGTAGGACTATGTAGCCCCTTTCTTGACTTCAGCTGCACTGCTGTTCCCTCCTTGCCTGGACACTGCCAGGCTGCCTCAACTAAAACAGGGCAGTGGGCATGCACGTAATAGTGGCCCTGGGTATGGTGGGCAGATGTTTTCTCCTCTGCTTGGAAGGTGCCACTTGTAGAAAGAGGTGGAAATTCTAAATTCTGGCAAAGATACAAGCTTCTGAGATCCCACAATGTACCTCTAATACAGAACCCTTTCTTTGTTATTTGTTTAGTAATCAACTGGGAAATAATTTTGAAAGATACCACCTTCATGAACTGCCTCTTCTTGCCCTGGAGTTAGACAACCCATGCCACTAACTCCCCATTCTGAGCATCCCAGGGATCAGCAGAGGAAGTTCTATGCTCTTTAGTCATGGAATAGGCCTTTCACTACTTGGACGTAGTATAGTCTTTAATGGTAGATTGGGTATCATAACCAGAACTTTGACATACACATTTCCAGAAACCATTGTAAGAGGAGTTGATCTTATGTCCCAGTGAACAGTGGTTTATCTTGAAATAAGAGGAAACACAGCAAAGCCAGAGGACTTTGCTCTCGTCACCATTCAGAAAGAATCTCTCATGAGAGCAGTATGAGGTTGGAAATGCTGTTATGCCTTTGTCTCCTGGGGAAAGTGCTGTATCATTTACTGATCACCAATCTCACCTTGGATGAGGGAATGAAGCTCTTAGGCTTAAGGGACATGCTTACTACTCACTATGTCTCGATGCTACCTCATAGCGACATTATGCACATGATATAGGTATCATTGTGTCCACTTTTCAAGAAAGGAAATACACTCAGTGCCTTTAAATGCCCACATGGCACTTGAGGAAATAACTAAGTGGCAAGGATACCTGGACCCCTCTTTTACCTCTGTTCTGTCTGGAAAAGTCTATATAATACCATTTAGATCCTTACCTCACACCATATACCCTAAGATGGTGTACCTAGTCCTCTTGATGCCACAGGTCAATGCATTTCCTATTCTGTCCCTCTTCCCAGGATGCAGAGATAAGATGGATCCCTGGAATTGGGCATAGCCTAGAACTGGGAAAAGTGGCTTTTTTCTATGATGAGTGAGTCTAACACTTTCATTACTCTTTCCATTTCTAGAAAATGAAGTCTCAACCCCAGCTTCACCTCCACAAGGTGAGTGAAAACACTGCTTTACATGTTTGGGCAGCAAACACAGAACATTCCATCCCAGCATGACCTGGCCTCCACTAAACTGTGAGCTTTAATCTAACTCCTGTGGAGAAGTTGAATGACAATGGTTGTGATAACGTAATAATAATGACAATATCAATAACACATTGTGTTAATATAATCCTTTCACGTTAATCTAGTTTGGATGCACATCATTTACTTTAGTCTGTGCCCAAGTTGTTGCTATGCCCATGTTTTACATGTGTGAAGACTGACCTTCCAAAGGGGTGAAGGATTTGCAGTGCCTTTTCACATGCCTACATCTTTCTTGTAATAGTAGGGAGTGCGCTTCACTTCAGCCCTGCAAGATCAGCAGCTTCTTCCTGGCTTACTCAGCCAAGACAGAGGCAACCAAAATTATGTGCATTTTCCCGCAAAAATGTCAAAGTATCCTCTCTCATCACTCTTTCTGCTTGACAAGAATGAGAAATTGACATGCATTCAAGAATTATTCACCAGTATTTACCATGTGCACAATTCTGCCCTAAACCTTCGGAAGGATTCCAAGTTACCTACCAAATACTAAGAGCCAGGTACAAATATACCATACCAGATGCGGAGAGCTCTAAAATAGAAAACATTTCCTGGTAATCAGTTTGCTTATAACCAAGTAGAAAATAAAACACAATCCAGAGAACTAGAAAATATATAACTACTGTATTGAAATATCAGGCAATACCATAAGCACAAGGCAGTATGTGATTTAATGCAGGTAACTTGAGTGGAGGTATGAAGGCAGGGGTGAGAGGTCATCATTCACCCATCAACTTAGGTACAATCAGAACTTGAAGAATGAATCAGTTTCTGGTGATCTTTTTACGTGTATTTTTATGAGGGTATTATGAAGCCCTTTCCTCCTAAACATTATTTTTTTCCAGAAGGTAGTTTGAGAAATCTAATTGCTCACAGGAATGCCTTTGCTCAGCTATGAAGACCAGTTTCATAGACTCCAGCCCCTTTATTAGTATAGACGAGTATTGCTTTGTGTGGAAATGATCGAAACATGCTCAGACTCACGTGAGTTCAGAGGACATGGTCAAGGTTTCTTTCTTTCGGCCAGATCGTGAGACTATTGTAGTTGTGTGATGGTCTTCTTAGGAATTTCTTCCTCTGTATGTTTCCTACTTGCCAACATTGAGTACTGAGAATCTACTAGCCACGAAAGACTTAAATTTTCCTTTCTGTTTTTCATATCAGTTGCTGATGCAGAGAAACTGTAGTTTATCTACTTATGCCATATTCCAATTATTGCACAATGTTGATCTAATACTAAAACAAGTCACCTCCCAAATTTTGTTTTAAAATGTCCTAATTAGTTAATTGCTACTCAGGTCGGTCTCATCAGTCAGAAAAGAGAGAACTCATGCTTGAAATGATTCCTTTCTGATATATCAGTCATGTGTAGGTATCTAAATTGATAGGATTCTGAGCAGAAAGAAAAGCACATTAAATGTTCTCAACTGATCAAACCTGATGTCATTGCTTTTGTTTTATTCTCAATCATCATACCCAGAATATGGATAACGACACTTTGAAACTATTGTACAATTACGTACTTTATGCCTTTGCTCCATACCATAATATTGCCTGAAGTCCAGACGATTGGAACTAGTGCTGAACTCAAACACTAGTCCCTTCTTGGCTTCTAAGATGATGTGGCCACATTTTATATTCAGCCCTGTTCCAGCATGTTATAACTGGGTCCCATGCAGTCAGTCTATGTTTATGCAATCTGGGCTGTGTGTTCCTATGGATGTATATAATTTTAAATGATCATATTTATTAATTGCTTCTATTAATATGATTCTACATTATAATTCCAAAAAGCACAATTCCTATGTAACAAAATAAACGAGTGGGTGCCATCACTTGTGATCTGTTCTGTTGTCATTAATTTCCTCCCTTCTCCATCTCCTCCATTGCTCATCACACAATAAAATGCTTTTTTAAAGACGCATTTAAAAATTGTACTTGTACTTTCCACACAGAACCAAGTAAAGAGAAGGAGGCCGGAACTGCACCAGGAAAAGGTGAGTTGGCAGGCGGGAAAGTAATATTGAATTCAACAAACTTGAAGCGGAAAGAGGGCAGCCATGAGTGGCCCGATGGCCCATGGAACTCCTCTGTGTTATCTTTAATCCTGCTGCCAGAGAGCTCTTCATTTGCATCTTATCAGCACAGTGAGACTGGTTCTTTGACCAGTTTCCATTACACACATTTCTAAAAAGAAAACAAGGGTGATAAAAGTATCACAAGTAGCTACTGAGTTGCCAGCCAACTAATGGCAGTTTTCAAGTTCCAGTGTGTATGCTGAGGAAAGAGGCATTTTGTCTTATTTGAATAACAATTCAGAATGCTGTCTGGATTGTCCACATTTTTTAAAGAAAATGGAATGTTTCCATGTGACCATGTGAACTGTTCCCGGTTTCAGCAGCTCTTTTGAAGGCTAGCATCTCATTTTGTAACGCTATGCATTTGTGTGGATTTATATAATGATTTATACAGATTTAGACAGTCCACAAGCATCCTGCTCTTCCCTAGTGAACTGGAAATTCACTGATTGTTGCTTCACATGGAGACAGTCCAGTTTTAGAAAAAGAGTGATCTTTCTCATGTGTTCTGGTGGTGCATCTATGAATTACTAATTTTCCCTGTGGAGAAACTCATTGTCACTATGGCTCCTCTAAACGAAGGAGCGTTAGTCCTCGTTAGAAGAAAGTTTTACCAGAGGTAGTTTTGACAGTTCTGCTTTATGGGTAATCAATAACATAGTTTTAGTTTTGGAATAACCAATTATTTTCTGACTAGGTGGGATATTTCTCTTTCTTTCTGCCACTCAAAAGCATGTTAAGTATCACTCCATTTTTACTATATCATATTTTATTAGCTAATTCCTATGATATTTTTGTTTCTCATATACTAGTAAAACATTTCTTCTTTCTTTTCAGTTTTCTGAAACACGTTTCTTCAGCTAACTTGAACTTAACACTCTCCTAAATGAACACACAATGTTAATACATTCACTTTGTCCTTGACCTTCAGGGGCTCCCATGGACAGTAACATGAATACTAATGCTAACCACGTGGCCATAGTTTGAAGGTTATTTGCTTATGGAATGCAGAGAGTGCAAACTCCTAGAACTCCTTCCATGAGATGGGTTCAAGGATGTTTGGGCATCCTGGCTGAAGTCACTGCAACATTATTCTCTACAAGGCTGATGGCATCCACCTCTGTTTCCAAATTTGGAAAGGTGCTTGGACCAGGCTGGAAGGCTCAACCAACAGAGCAGGTGATGTAATCCCAGAGGGCAAGCTGTCAACATTTAAACAAAGCCCATGCCTGACCATTAATCTTCAAATTAATCTACAAATTAAAGTCAACTAACCAACCAATCAGTTGGTCAATTAACAACAACAACAAAAAAAAAACAAAAACTTTTCATAAAGGAGAGCCAGTAAAAGAGCTAACCTAGAGAACTAGGGCATTCTGAAACTTGTAGCATTTTTTCCGTGACATTTGCAGAAGATAAGCAAGGACATGACTACATGCTGTCACATGTCCACGTACATAAATTGCCCTGTATAAGTTCATTCTACCCAACAAGAAGTAAAGCACTTCAGGATAGAAAACGACATCTCTAAATCAAGAAGTATGGTGAATGGAAGTTATTTCTAAGTATACAGTTCTCTGCAACTGTACCCACTTTTCTTAGGAACTGGTTTCAAGAAAAAACATAGGCAAAATTTAGACATAATCTATTCTTGATTGGGAAAAAAACCACAGAACCTTGCATAGACATAAAGAGTGACAGGGCAACAGACTTTTCTCCAGTATTAACTAGAATATTCTCTCTTGCCCTTCATCCCCACCAAGCCCCCCCACCCTCAAGTCTCAATTCATCTAATAGATTTTTTAACGACTTTACAGCTTTCTCCTGACCATCCAGATCACATCACCCCTTCCTCCTCTTGGTTTCTTCTGAATCCATTGCCTCTCTCTTTCAATCTCTCTTTTCTATCTGATCACATATTAACCATTCACTTCTCTCCTCACAGGTTGTGAGCTATTTGATGGTCAGGCACTTTGTCTTAACACCTCTCTCATCCCCTCATCTCCATTCCTTCCAGTGAGCAGTAGACAGCTGCATGGCCACCTGATACAGACATTTAGAAATCATGAACAATTGAATTTCCACTACTTTTGCTACTGATTGTATAGCCAATGGTAACCTGTATATCTTTGTTTCTATTTAACATATTTCCTGGACAGGAGGATGAATGTCCCAACCTACTCTTAGTCAACGAAGTTCAGACGGAGGTGTGGCATTGCACAGTGTGTTCATCCTTGGATAGATGGACCATTTTTCCTGAGATACCAACTCATTTAAATCTTTCCAAAATCATCATGCCTGGAAATAAGTGCATAATTCAGCACTTCAATTCATCCTTCACTACTTATTTGGAAGTACAGTCAATTAATAGTTGTAAGACTGTTGCTATTAACAATAGTGTTTATAGTAATGCAGACTTATTACTATTCCCAAACCAGTTGACTTGCTCAGCAGCAGCTTTGAAATACTCAGGAGATTGCTTTTGGATCCACAGAATATTGTTTGGTTCTGCTATCAATCTCACACATAGTGTTAGTTTTACCAATTTTATCAGATTTATTATGAGTCTTTCTGGGGAATAACTGATTTCCCAGGAAGGGCTTTTATTATTTCTTTGCTTGATTATTTCCTTATTTACCTCTTGACAGGTCCTTCCAACTAGCCTATAGTTGGATATTGCCCACTTTGTCCTGGGATTGAAGTGATAGTGACAACAATAAAGAAATACCTTTAACCAGAGAATTAGATGTGCAGATTCCTTTCAGGGTGATCATACTAGAAGATGGCGTCCTTATAAAATACTGTGGCTGTGGCTAAGAATTCTTCCAGAATAATGACATTAGAATGCTAAGTATAGACTCTTTTCTGTATTCTCTTTGCGGCCAAAGATCTGCCTTGTAGCCTAATAATTGTTAGCTCTGCACATACTTCCTGAGTGTCTGCTACATAGTAGGTGTGAGTTGGGCCATTGTGTCCCCTCTTTCTGGAGCCAGTGTCCGATGTCTCAGGGAAGAGCAAACGTCAGTAGAAGATGGTGGATTCCAGTTGGAAGCAGACTAGGATCAGTAGGGCACGTGTAGAGAATAATGTGGGTAATCAAATGGATCCTAACTTTTAATTTTTTAAAATTTGTCATCACATCATCCTTCATTTTTGTACAGTGTATGGTTTCCCCATGAAATTCCCACTACCAATTCCCCGGTGCACCATCACCATAGATCCTTGTCTCTTCCCACTCCTGTCCCAGTCCTTCTCCCTCCTCTTCCCCTACAGAATGCCTCTCATCTATAGTTACCTGGGTCATACCTCTTTTTGTTAAGTTGACATGGTGTGTGTGAGCACAGCTAGTGAGACTAGTGTCTTCTGGGCCTGAACAACTAGCCCAGTGGGAAGTTCCTATTGTGGATATTTCCAAACAGGCCAGCAGCCTTAGAATTAGAGTGTTTCAAATATGGGTAGTCATTTCAATGCGTGGGTTCTGAGTTATTCCTTAATTTTTACTTTTGCATCTTATTAGCTCATGACCTGTATGTTTGTTTTTATCTGTAAGTCTAATTTGGATAGTTAGTGCATCTTTTTCTTCTAGAAAAATAATTGCTTCTGGCAATCATTGCAGTGATAGTAAACTTATTTTCTTTTTGCAGGTATTAACATTAATCTTGCCACATAAACTGTAGCGAATGGAATGTGTATGTTTTAAAGATCTCATGTCACTTGAGATGAAGAGTCTTTCTTTTGGCATGAATATGGTTTGCAGATGAGGAAGTGAATCAGTAGAAGTTCCAGCAAACTTTCTTCTAAATGATATTTTTTTTTATTTAAAAATGATTTGATTTTTTCTCTTCATTTAGGTCCCATTTGATATGCAGTAACATGATCCTGGTACTTTTTATTCACAAGCTGAAATATCTGTGTAATTTTACCTTTAGGTGTCCATCACCTCTGTGTGCTTTATCTTTGTATTCTAATCAACTTACTCCCCTGCAGTGAACTTTGTTAAAAACTAAACAACAACGTACTTTGCAAAACACAACCTTTTTAAGATACAACACTGCTTTAATAGCTTTGGGGGTGAAAGAACTCATTAAATATACTTATGTATTATGAGATGAACTTATTTCTGAAATCATACCTGATTTCAGAAGCATCTAAGTCTGAAAAGCTGCCTTCTCACTAAGAAATATAAGTTAAGTACCTCAAAAATATGATTACCTTATTTTCACCATACTTATTTCATCGGTATGTAATGGGAGTTGTTTTGTTATTTTGATCACCTATACCAGTATTTGCTACAACTGATTACCCTGCTTGAGGGATTCATAAATTTGTCTAAACCAAATGAAATAGCACATCAGTATTTAACTGAGTATTTAACTGAGGTTTGTCTACAGTCACATATGTTTTAACTTTCTGTGCTTTTTGGTCTTCTAGAATCTCATCAGTTATCCCAAGTTTGTATTACTGAAAATATTGATTTAGAAGTCAATTTAAATCAACCATAGGTAAAAGTTATTTTATCCTCAAGAGTTTGAAAAATTACTGGTATACATTCTACCATCATTTTCTTGCTTTCCAGATTTCACATGTAGCCTTGAGAGTCACAGGGGTGTAATGTGAGACCAAGTTCTTTCTCTACTTTCTAGAGGTTCTTCTCTGAGACTTCAGTTGTTTTAGAATCAAATGCTAGTTCCCATGACTTCGGTCAATTGCACTTCTATGTAGTAAGGGAGATAGTTCTGTGGTTCTTGGTCTGTGGTCTCTACCGGTACCGCATTGGAAAGCGCCAAAAACCAGGTGTGTGTGTGTGTGTGTGTGTGTGTGTATTGTTGATACTGTCACTGTCAAGTAAAAAGAAAATATGACGTGTATCGTGGTTTTTCTTCCTGGTATGAACCCATGACTTTCTGTATGTGTTGTTG